CCTGAGTGTGGTGATTACAAGAGAACTGTTCTTTAAGAAACTCCTTCTGAGGGAATATCACTTTTTTATATGCAAGTAGGATGTTGAAGGGATGGTTGGATAGTTGCGACATAGTGGTATTAAATGCATCAGGAAAATGGAGGATAATGCACAAAGTCCTGAGAAAAAAAGCAGGAATCTTAGAAGCTTTACCCTTAATGGAGCAGTGATGGTGGCTTCTTGAACATGAAATCCCTTCTTTTTTTATGTCAGATCAATTAGTAGCAAAATGGTTCTTATCCAGAATTTAATTCCAATTAAAGGACTGCTGTGCTATAAGTTACAGAAGAGCAAAAAAAATATCTTTCTGATCTTTGATTACCAGGCTACTATGTGGTATAGCAGAAGGACAGGAGATGGAATGACTGACCAGATGCTCCACAGAAACAGTGCAGCAATGGTGAATGTATGCTGCCACATTTCACTGTCTAAACATATAAAGATATAAATCCCTGGCCAACTTTAGTCTTTGCAAGGATGGAGAACTGGTTAAAATAGTCTGGCTCATAAATACCTTATTGAGCCAATTGGTTTTCCAAGTGTGCTTGGGGAATTTCCCCTCTTCAGAGTCATATGACTTGTGAGATATACTGTGAAATATTGTAGAGTAGCTTAATGCTCCTAAATTAACTCTTGGAGACCCACATCTACCTTATTTATTAGGAAGGTGAGATGTTCAAAGCTTGCCAGCTGCTATTTAAATGAAATAATTCTTGGACAGATAAGAATATATAGAGAATATATTCTCTGTAAATCCATATTATATATGGAGTGAGGCTCATCTGAACTGCAATAATGAAAGGATTGCCATGGATGGTTAGGTCTTTGCATCCACTCACTGCTTCCACCCAGAAGTCAACATTGCTCTTCTATGATATGTGGCATCTTTATGACCAGGTAGGGAGGGAACTACAACAGTTGATGGTATACTATGAAGAATTTGTATTGTTTAGAAGAAAATTGAAGCCGCCAAACCCACCTCCCAAAAAAGAACTGTTTTTTCAGACATGGTACTCTTTTAGTCACAGTTATCACTGGATTCACAGATGGAATATGTTGTTAAGAGTACCTCCATACACTTATATTTAATATTCTAACAGCAAGCTTCCCTGACTAATTTTTATTTTGGTGATAGTTATCTATGTCTTTTTATATCCTGTATTTACTATTCATATGCAGCAGGATGGGTAGTGGTATTAGATTGATGAAGACAACAGTATGGAATTGCAGCACAAGCAAAATACCTTTTGTGTCTGCAGTGCAACAATCTGATACAGCTTTTGTCATTCTAATGAAAGATCCTAGTTTCTATGGATCCCATTGCTGCGATGACAATGGAGCTACTTTTGAATAGAGTACAGAAGATACAATCGGTACAGTATCAAGTAGTATTTATTCCACCCCTTAGCCCTTTACAGCACCCTCTGGGTAGTTTACAATGAGAGCATTACTTGCATATTGCCCCCAACAATCTGGGTCCTGATTTTACTGACTTTGGAAGGATGGAAGACTGAGCCAACCCCGAGTCCCATCAGGAGCAAATTCAAGACTGTGGGCCTACAATACTGCACTTTAACCAATGAGCCATCAGGACTCATTTACAGCAATCATGCTACTGATCTATGAAAGGACCAGGGAGTATTTTTACTGTACCAAAAATGGCACTAGTTGCTTACGAAGTATAATCTAGGCCAATGGTATTAAAGCTCTAAAAGCCTTCCAAATTGTTTGTGGTGACCATACTCATACAGGAAATGCTTTGGACTCCAACTCTCTCATTGTTTAGATAATTTGTAAAGAATCCAGACTTTTGTCAGTCTTTTAAAATAAATTTTAGGCTATTTTGTTTGAAACTTTTGAGCAATCTTTAGTCCTTGTTTAGTGTTCTGTCTGGTTTCTTGCTCATAGAGAAAGAATAATTAATAAATTGTGCTAAGCCTGTCTTTCTACATATTTTATGTAATTTGTATGAATACATTCAAGAATGTTCCACAGCTACTTGCATCCTCTCAATTCTTTATAAAGCTTCTAATAAACTGCAAAAACCAAATAATTCTAATAAAATGACGCCTATGCTCAGAAAAATAAAAATCCCGCTCCCCAAGACACGTCACTAGTAAAGTCACTTTATCACTGCACATATGTCCTAAAATCTTGTATATGTTTTAAAAATGTAGGCATTAGATGAAAATACATTGCCTATCTCTATGGTAGAAGCTAACATTAAGAATATTATTGACAGAGGTAGGATAATTAGATGTGAGACTACTTATGAGATGAGCAGTCCTTATTTCCAAGCACCTAAATAGAACTATATTGTTGCCAATTATTGTATTAAATTCAACCTGTACATCATGCCTCTCAAGACATCCACTCTCTTAAAGTAAATAAATAAAAGAGCAGAAATAATTTAATTAAATTTCTCCTGCCATCTCCCACAGGCCATTCAGCTCTCATAAAAATGTTAAGTAGCACAATTTTGGCATCTGGATACCATTTTGTACTCCTCCATAGAATTCTCCATAGAATTCCATTGGCCTAGTATTATCCTATGTTCTTAAATTCTAAGAGATTTCATCTGAGGTATAAGTGAGGCTTTGCAGACTGCATTTTCAAGACCTGGAAAGAAAGATGTCAAATAACCCACAGTATAAACAAAGAAAGAAATTTAGTCGTAAGTATTTCACCAATACTAACAAAAGAACATGATTTACTTTTTTTCAAAACATTTTTGAGAAATATTTGATGATACTGCAGAAACAGGCCTAGTTTGCTGAATTAATTATTGTTGCTTTCCCTTTCCTATGTCTTCCACTTTAATTTTTTAAATACAAATCCCTAGAATATACAGTAAGCATAAGTGCATCAGCATGCCTGCAACCCTGTCCTATTGTTCCCATTTATTTGTAATCATTTCTTATGTATATACTTATACCTGCTTATATGTTTATGGGTTATATTCATACTTATACTTGTTTTCTCGTACATGCTTTACAAACCAAAAAAATAAATACATAAAATAAATAAAACATTTTGTATACTTTGGAGTTGTCATAAACTGGACAAACAACATTCAAGATTTGAAATGTAATCTGAAACCAGTGATCTGAAAAGAGCTGTGTATGGAATTTATTGGAAGATGAAGAGAGGGTCAATCATGCTTTATGCAGAGATTATTAAATGTTCACCTTTTTTCATAAAGCAGGGACATAAAACACTTTTTCTTAATCACCTGGTAACTAGTTTGCTGAGCATAAATTAAAATAAACTCAGGCATTAATCTAACATTGTTTCTCAACTTAATTTATCTTGGAAAGGCTGTGAAACAGGACAGGACAGGATCTTGAATTCTTTAGGTGAAAAATTGGAATAAGGGAGGATTGAAATCCTCTGTAATGGTATTTTGTGCTGCTTATGTAATAAATGTATTGATTGGGATCATCACTATTTCCACAGTTCCTGAGACATCGTAATCACGAATAAGGAAGATATTCTTTACATTTTGGAGGTTACTCTAGAAACATGAATCTAAGAAATCATTAAGGTTTTTTCAGGGACCAGCATCCTAGAAAAATACATTATAAATAAAAAGTATGTTAATACATATTCTTCTGAATACAGAAACAGTCTGTATCTGAAATGACACTTTCAGTAGAATAGTTTGCATATACTACCTTGTTCATGTTTTTAATGTTAAACTGTGGATTTGTGAATTCTCCAATTCTAATATTTCCTTTGTAAAGAGAGACATTTTAGTGTGTTACACAAGCTCTAAAAGCTTTTCAACTGATCCCTCTGAAGTTTTTATTTTACTCCGAGCTATAATCTCCCCTACTTCTTTGACAGATTCTTTTTTCTAAATGTTAAGTAATGTTGATTGACAATAATTAGACTTCTTTTTCCATTGCTGACTTATCTGCCTAGTGAGCATGAAATGTGCTGATACTTTTTCTGATCCTGTTTCTGAATTACCAGTCATCAGGCAAATAATAGCCAAAAGATATCCATAAAATATCGTCGCCTTTTTTACTGCACAGATATGATCTCAGAATACTTAACCAATCAAGCATAGTATTTCTAATAGAGATCATTAAAATATGGTTCCCAACAAATAAAATTGTCATATCATACCTTATAAAGTAAAGGTTTATGATTGTGTGTTAGCATACTATATCCTCAATGAAAATAAAAATGTTGTAGAAGATATTTTATCAGTCTGGGGACATTTGAGGACTTCTTCAGGAAGATTCTTAAAACATGGATGTGTCAGGAGGTTTAGGGACACTGACAGAAATATTGGTCTAATGAGATAGCTGCATCGTGTTTAATCTCTATCTTCTCTACTGTCTTCCTAAAACAATTTTAATTGTACTTGTTTTAATGTTTTGATTTTACTATTGTTTTAATTAGCAATAGCAATAGCAGTTAGACTTATATACCGCTTCATAGGGCTTTCAGCCCTCTCTAAATGGTTTACAGAGTCAGCATATTGCCCCCACAGTCTGGGTCCTCATTTTACCCACCTCGGAAGGATGGAAGACTGAGTCAACCTTGAGCCGGTGAGATTTGAACCACCGAACTGCAGCTAGCAGTCAGTTGAAGTGGCTGCAGTACTGCACTCTAACCACTGCGCCACCTCGGCTCTTTGCCACCTTTCTGAGTTATATAAATGTAATTAATATATAAAATAAAATAAAATTCAAGAATTTGGAGTCAACATGGCAATAGCAGGACGTCATCAGGGTGAAATTCAGCAGGTTCTGACAGGTTCTGGAGAACCGGTAGCAAAAATTTTGAGCAGTTTGGAGAATTGGCAAATACCAACTCTGGCTAGCCCCAGAGTGGGTGGAAATGGAGATTTTGCAATATCCTTCCCCCAGGAGTGGGGGGGAGAAATGAGGATTTTGCAGTATCCTTCCCCTGGAGTGGGGTGGGAATGGAGATTTTACAGTATCTTTTCCTTGCCAAGCCCACAGAACCGGTAGTAAAAAATGAATTTCACCACTGCATCTAATATTCCTATTTCTATTAAACAGCAGTTTAAACAGTGAAATCCAAAATTAATCTTACATAACCTATTTAACTTTACCCATTTAATCATATCAGATGATCTGGAAGCAAAATACAAAGTAAAAAATATGTGTTGAAAGGAGTAGAGAGGAAAAAGTGGGAAAGAGTTGAGATTAAAATGTAAAAATAAAAATAACAAAGTCCCAGCTAGTGGCCATCACTAGGAGATTAAAAGTCAGTCTTGGACTTCTTATTTAGCTTCCTTGTGGTGAAGAATATTTATCCATGCAGATAACTAATTCAAATAGGGATTCATATTTCAGAGTTTTGCAGCTATGCCTATTAGATGGTATAATTAGTATCCTTCTCCTTACCACTTTCCTGTAAGGAAGAAGAAACTGACTTAACTAAACTGTGTTCTGAAACATGCCTCAACCAAGTACACATTTTTTTCTTTAGGGGATTCCTTGGCATGGTACTGTTAAAATAAGGCAACAGATTTAAATAGGACAGACAACTGATATACATTTCGATCCCACATGTTACACAGTTGCTCACTGCAGGCTTCCATCTAACAGTTTTGCTTTTGATATAAATGCAAACATGTGTGCTATGTGTATGTCTGTGTGTGGCTTATTTTTTTAAAATTTATCTTTTGCTAAACATTAAATTATTTCTCAAGAAATAAAAATATATTTACATGGTAAGTATCTACATTATACCATCAGTATGAACATGCACCAGTGAGAGCCTCTTCAGAAATTTGGTCAATATTGGTTGAGCCATTTTGTGCATCCTACCCATCTTCATTGGGATCTAAAAAATATTATTCAGAAGGGACCTCACATAAACAGTTTTCAAGATTTATCAGATAACACCTGTTATCTGAATCAGAATCTGAAAGCACTGGACACAGACAAGTCTGTTAAGAGCCATTAAATAGCCTTTTGAGATTGCCATTAGCAAAAAAAGCGTAATTCTTTCAATTGAAATTTAGGATCTTATACCATGATTTCATTGAGCTAAATATCATATTTGTGATATGGTTTGCCAAATGCTCACTTTATAAATGTTCCCTGAAAAAGAAAAATGAAAAAAAGTCCACACCATTAATATTAATAATAATAACAAGAAGAATTTCCCTTCATCTAATCATAACATTAATTACAAAATAAAAACTGGGAAATGTTGTTGTCAAAATGGACTCCTGGTATTAAACACTAGTGCAGTTCGGTATTTCCTTTGTGCTTTCACTGTTGGAGATCGTTGAGATGCTCCCTAAGCAAAAGGAGAAAGGGAGAGAAAGTAAATTTGTTCATTGCATCTTGATTTTCATTCTGAAATTGTTTTAATTTAAGCAGACATTTTTTTCTTTTTCCTGACAAGCAAATGGTATGTAGAAATTGATGCACAAACAATAACACTGCTTTTCCAGCTATGGTTTGGCTGAGAACCTAAGAAATTACTCTATATAAAATACAGACATCAGAATGCATAAAATTATGGAAAAGAGCAATGAATAGCATGACAGTAGAAGATGGAAGTCAAATGAAAAAGAGTTAAGCAGACATTCAGACACTGAAATGGAAGTGGTCACTTCCTTTTTGTGCTATGAACCATCACTGGGCTGTCTGTTCCAACTTCTCATTCAATCTTCTTTTCTCCGTATTTATTGAAATATAATTTATGTATTTCAATGATGGCCTTCTAATACTTTATTATTTTTCAAGAGTTGAAAAATTTCCAGGAAAAAAAGAAGATAGTACATGTATGAATTAATTGTCACAAAATCAGGGTAGAAGAATCTGCAAATATAAGGAGTGGATAACTTTCCCACACAAAAGAAGGGTCCATGACAGGGGAGGAGAGGTGTAGAAGAATTTGAATACTTTTTTGTACATAAAGCTTGCTCTAGTTACTAGAATTCTATTATTATAGACTGCTGGTTTTTCTTTAATAAATATTATTTATCGTAATGTCTTTGTGTGAGTTTGCTTGTTATTACAGTGCTGTCTGTTGGTTAAACTTGATAATCTATTTCTTATCTTTTCTATTAATGTATTTTATCTGAGAAATATTTATATTCATCAATGGAGAATATGAGAAGCAAAAAAAATTCTATATGTTTAAGGGTGGTACAATTTTATTTTGGCTGACACTTTAAATTCTCAACCAGGATCAAATAAAATGTTGAGGTTAGGGTGTCACTTCAAAAACTAAAACTGATTTAATTTGAATCATATTATTAATATAATAAGAATAATTTATAAAAAACATTATGATCACTTTTCCTCCTTCTTTCACACTGATAATTCAGGCCATTAGATTGGTCATATCTGATTAAGGGATGATGACTAACACTGTCATTGAATGGATGCCCATGCTATTTACCTATAACCCGTGCATCCAACTCTTTGTCCATGAGTTCTTCAGGATCTGTGAATTCACTAAGTGTAATTTTGGGTGCATTTTCATTTTGGCTGACAGAACCAATCATCTCCTGTTCTTTGTCATGTTGCACCTGAGCATAGATATTGATCCATGGAATTTTCCTGCATATAAAAGAAACAGATCCTCAGTTAGGTAACTCAGCTTCATCAACAGCTCATCTGCAAATCCTCTCAGGTCAAACCTAATTTGTTGAGTCCTGTGACAAACGGGAAGTTAACTAACAGGTAGAGGTGACCACTGGCAGTTGTAGTCACAAACTGACAGAACCCAGATTGTTAGAATGTAGATATAGCACTGGTGCTATGAAGCTTCCATTAGCTTTGAAGCTAGGGACCACCAAAAACTGACAAAAAACAGTGAACGATATCATATAATAAAACCCACAGTTACAACAATAGACTTCAATTGCCCCCATTGTACTTAACCCCCACTGTGCTAGACTCTGCTGGACTGCAGCACCACCTCCATGTACAACAGAGTGTCTTCTTCAAACCCGAAGGTCTATCATACATACCATAGAGTTTAAATCCCTACATATCAGATGATATACATTCTCACTTTTGTCTTTAAATTGGTGTCTTTGGTAGTCACTTCAACCTAAAAGCTCTATAACAAACAAGAAATAGTGTAATTTTCTACTGCTGCATAGTATATGTGATATAATGAAGATTTGACATCAAGTAACAAATTCAGATTCAGAGAATCTGATTAAACAATATTGATAGTAACTGAAGCAAACACATCCAAGAGAAAGAATTCTGGACAACAAAAATGATATTTTTAAATAAGGAGCTTACTTGTACCAAGAATTATCCAAAAGAGAAAAATAATATTTAAAAATCTGAATGGTAATGTATATATTGATTGCTTTTCCAGGCAATTACTGCTATCATGAGCTTTCTTCAAAATAAATTTTGTGTGACTCTTCTTTCACTCACCTCCTTTTGACATCCTTTTAAATGACTGCTAAGTGGCTGGAAGAAAAAATAGTCAACTCTTCTGCTTAATCTTATTTTCTCTAGGGCAAAGTTATCAGGTACCTTTGATCTTTCTTTATCATTTATCTTTTAAGACGTGTAAGATTGTCCGAGAGGTTTTGCACATTATGAGCCAAGCTCATTTAGCTTTGTTGCATGCTTGCCTGATTTTATATATCTTAATTAGGTCATTAATAACTTTATATATGTCATTATTTCTTGGAAAGATCACCTTTTCTACCTTTTCTTTTCTACTTCTGGCTAGTATCAAAATATTAGTATCTATACTGACTGTTCTGCCTTTTACACTTAAATGGGTTTTATGTTTTCTCTTCTCTGTCATATTAAAATAGATAAGGGGTGAAATAAAATAAAATTTCATATTCTCAACTTAATCCAAATTTTATTACCATGTGACATGAATCATGTAAGTGAAAACATTTCCAAAACAATGTATTGGAAATTCATATGGAAATGTCCAGAGCTTAATGAATAGAATGCCTCATGTCAGAAAATTCTTCTTCCTTTTGATTAAACTTGGATAGGCATAAAGGGGGAGGCAGGGTAGGCTCAAGCCAGTAAAATGCTTTAAACTGAAGAAGCAAGGTATTCTACCTTGAAACTTCAATTAGAAGCACAAAGGCAGGGCTGATCTGTCTTAAACAGCCATTTTACTTTGATAAAAGTGGCTTCCGCACATATGCAGAAGCCACTTTTCTTGCTCACTTTGCTGCTCAGAAATAGGAAGGTGCTTCACTTTGTCAAGTTTCTTGAAGCTGTGCTTCAACAGTACTTTCATCAAGACAAAAAGCATTCCTTTACAGATCTAGATATCATACTAATGAAAGAACTGAATTTCCTGAACTCATTAAATCTCTCCTTCTCTGTACATGGCAGACCAAAAGCAAACTAAAAAGACAGTGCCCTTAGTCTGAATACTGCTAGAATTATAAAACAAACTTGGGACAGTTAAGGCAGTCCAGACTTCTTGACATTAAATATTCCACTTTTTTCTCCAAATATGCCCTTCTGTTTTAAATATGTTTTAAAGACTTTATTAAAAATTCATTTAAAAAAAATCCTATGATTATTTTAATGGCAGCATGGTCATCTTTAGCCAGATTAAAAAGGGAAATTAGGATATGATGAATGAATATTAGAATCATAGATTAGACATAGATCCAATATGCACAAAGTGTTTTATAGTAGTATTGATCTACTAATATAGTAGTATTGATCTACTATTTTCTTATTGAAAATGTTATATGCTTTTTTCTTCCCAAGTGGGGATTTTCTTTTAAATTCTTCCCAGGTCCAAATATATTTATACAATGTTTATTTTCAATTTTGAAGTTGTACAGATAGTTTTCGGCTTAATTGAGCCCATATCTGTTGCTAAGTGAGACATTTATTAAGTGAGTTGTGCCCCATTTATGACTTTCCTTATCCCAGTTTTAAGTGAAACTGCACATGTTAAATTAGTAACAGGGTTGTTAAGTGACTCTGGCATTTCCATTGACTTTGCTTATCAGAAGGCTGCAGAATGAGATCACATGACTCCAGTAGATTATAGCCATCATAAACATGAGTCACTTGTCAAGCTGACTGAATTTTGATTACATGACCACGGGGTTGCTGCAATGGTTATGTGTGAAAAATGGACATAAATCACTTTTCTCGGTGCTGCTGTAAATTCAAATTATCCCTAAATGAACTGTTGAAGTCAAGGAATACCTGTAGTAATTTTGGAGACAAATAGCAGCTTGCTCATCATTTCTAACACAGTAACTGACTATTGTCATTATACTAAATCTCTACTGAGATTCAATCCTAAACAACAAAGACTACCATCGTGCTTTCCATGTTATTTCAACTTTCCTTTTTTTATAGATCTGTGGAGATCGCAAATGTCAGAATTATGCACCAAGTTAAATTTTCATTGTGTTTTAACAGTGAATGGTTAGTAAATTAGGCAGTCATCACACAAGGATTATCTGTATATGTAACTTTAAGGCGGATCTAGGGATGGGTAATTTTTTTCTGCCCTGTACATATGACAAAGAAGCTGAACCAATTTTTTTACACTGCCGCGCTGAACAAATATAGACTCACTTCAGTGTGTTTTAGATTGTGTGTGCAGAAGCTCCCTAAAGGTATACACACAAACATTAATTTTGAAAGAACATATAACACAATTAATATTTTTCTTATATCATCATTTTGTTCACAGTAAGATACTTTTTATTCCAGTTTTCTTCCATTTGCCCATATCTAATAGCATCTCTTGCTTTATGCAGGCCTTTAATAAACCTTCCGCATATGTGTCAGCAGAGTGCCAATTGTAGCAATTTATAACATTAAAAATTGATGCAGACACATGTTTCCCCTATCTCGGCTAAATACAAGCCAATATTCTAGCTGGAATTCTATCTCGTCACAAAAATGCACATTGCTTTGTTGATGAGATAAAATCCAAATAATCACAACAGACTAAGCTGCAGATTCTTCAATCCTAAATAGTGAAATAGTGTTTCTTTGAACAGTAAATAGTGTTTCTTTGAAACAGTATTATAAAATTTAAAAATAGTTTTGCTGAACTAGGCCAATGCCTTATCCAGCAAAGTACATTACACAGGAATCTACAGATGTATTTACAAAATTGAAATATGTATATATGCTTTCAAACCCAGAAGTTAAAAATTAAGCTACTAAATAGCCATCAATATTATGAGAGATTGAGAGTTCTGTCCCCTATGTCTAGTCCAAATCTCTTTGCAAAATATCCCATCAACATCTAATGGTACTGAACTCTCAAGTTTAACTCTGCTATCATGCATAATTATCTTTGTTGGAGGCAGCACTGGAGATATTGAGATAGTTGCCTGTTGTGACTCAGCAGAAGTTTGCTGTGAGTTAAGTCGGGATGCAGGAGTAACAATGCAGCTGGGGCTTGTTAGTGTTGTCTTCTGGAGATAAAAGGACGGATAGTGCCACACCCTGGTTGGAGAAGTCAACGTTCATCGTTCATCATTCATCGGTCGTGGTTTGTTTGTGAGAGACACTTGGATAAGTGATTTGCTTTCTGTAACCCTGATTCAAAGAGACACTTGGAGAAGTGATTTGCTTTGTAAGAGATCTTTGTTTTTGCATTCTGTTATCTTCTTGCCAGAGACTTTATTTATGTTTATTTTTGGGCTCGCAGCTAGCGTGAGTCGAGGTTGATAAAGTTCTTGCCTTTTAAGTCTGTCTGACTGTCGTCTTTGAACGAGCGGAGAAGGGGGGCCAGAACAGTTGTCCTACTACAAAAAAGTAGGTACTTCTTCAAGAGAGTAAGTTGTTGCTTTTATGTCCAATTCCAAGAAAGACTGAGAGGTGCAACTTAAGGAGCCATTGGTAAATTAATGTCTCTAATATAACCCCCCTTGAATTATTTGACTGAACTTAAAAAAGAGATGTGTTGAATATTCATTACTGGGAAAGATATGGTAACAAGGTCAGCCAATGAATAGGCATAGCAACTAAGTCAGCCAATGGGAACTGAAACAGAACTGAGAATTGAAACTGAAACTTAAAACTGATCTCTGTCTACCCTGAACTCTGGAATGAAACTGTTCTCTCCTGCTTGGGTCCTGCTTGTAACTTCTACCATGTTGAAAGAATCTACTATTTGTATTGTACATTTATTCATCTGTTAATATGTACATAAAAAAGTTGATGAATCCAGCTGAATCAGTTATCTGTGAATGCTTTCTGGATTTGATTTTTCTGCAACAAACTGTCACAAGATGCAATTGAATTCATGTGTATCTGTGGAAGAAGGTCATAAATGCATGCACGCCTACACTTCACACCTTACTACGCTGGGTGTTTTAAGGGTTCATAATTTTCAAGAAAGTTTTTTTCGTGTTCAAATTATCATAACTAGAGTTCTTGCTCAGAATCTTCTGCCCTTGGACTAATTTCACATCCAGCAATGAGGAAGATTAACTAGCTAGGTTGTGAAATTTGTATTACTGTGTAGGAAGTTATCACTCAGCCCTCTCCCAGAAAAATGAAATATCCTAGGAAATATTGAAAAGGCAGAATATTTCTCAGGATGTGAAAAGAAAGAAACATTTTTTTAA